TCTAATACCCATGACTCATCTGCTGTCAGAAGGGTTGTAATCTCTGACCATCTCTTGTATTATGTCCACAGTCTCTGATCTTCTCTTGTACCATGTCTGCAGTCTCTGACCATCTCTTGTATTATGTCTGCAATCTCTGACCATCTCATATACTATGTCTGCAATCTCTGACCATACCTTGTATCATGTCCGCAGTCTCTGACTGTATGCAATCTCTGACCATATCTTGTATTATGTCCACAGTCTCTGATCATCTCTTGTATCATGTCCACAATCTCTATCTCCTGTATTATGTCCACAGTCTCTGCCCATCTATTGTATCATGCCCATAGTCTTTGACTATATCCTGTTGTGTGTCTCCTGTCTTTGATAATGAATATTCACTGAATTTTACATGCAGCTCTTTGGTGCTGTCAGGGGGCAAACTTGAGGCTCCCTATATCAAGAACCCCACTAGTCTAGGCTATAGGCAATATATATAAACCTGAAATGCATGGGCAGCCTGACAACTCTATCCACAAACTTTTGTGAGATATCTTTTTTTTTGCTAATTTAGTTGAAGTCATGTGATTGCTCAGACTCCGCTTGCCATCCCCTTAGCAGGTTGGTGTGTGTGTGTGTGTGTTGGGGGGTGGGGTGCTTGTTGCACACACATCACTGGTAGGAGGTGCTCCCCTCTCTGCTGGAACTAAAGCTCTCTGTGAAAACCATGCAATGTTAACATTGTAGCAAACTAGCTCATCAGCGTTGGACGCGGAGTTCCCCTTTTTCTTTTAATGAAAGTATTCCTTATTCCTCACACTCCCTACCCCCTCCCTTCCTGAGAGGCAAACTTATCTCCTGACAGATGGGGGGGGGGGGGGTCAACCACAGGTTAGGCATCACTAGTTGGTGCCAGCAGTCTGGGAAAGTGTAAACTTTCTCCCCCATCATAATCAAGATAAGATAGCTTCTCTCCGGACTTGAAAATTGAACATTCCTCAAGTCAGGCTCCCCCCCCCCCCCCCCCCCGATGTTTCATGTCATGGATTATGACAGATGTTGGCTCTAATTCAGAGTTCCCCACTGACTCCTCCCAAAACAGCGTAGTCAGAGCAACCCCCCCTTTCAGAGGGATTTTTAAAAAAGAGACAGGCTAGCAAGCCTGCAAGCTAGAGCTTAACACACATCTCTCCTGAGTGTTACATCGTAACGGAGGAGATCAAAGACCCTTCCTGCTCTGCACTTGGATCTGCTTACCAACCAAGGCATATTGGCAAGTAACTTAGCTCTTTAATTTCCTTCCTATTATCTCTTTGCTGTACCTTTATATGCATATATATATATATATATATAGTTACATTTTCTTTGTAAATATTTTATTGCACCTGTTTGACTCTTTTAGTAATAAATCTTTCTTTCTGAAAGTGTTAAACTGTTTCTAAGCGCTTTCTTGCAATTCACGAATTCCTGCCTTTGAAGAGACACTACTGTGTTTGTTTAATCCTCTGCCCAATCAGCCTGCGGTGACCGTATTGGACAGGCGACTTTTCAATCATTATAGTGTATATTTGATAACGGGAGTTTCCCAGTCTCCGACAAAAGTGGTGGTGGCAGTAGAGGGTTAGTTGTGTAATTAACCCGACCCAGTAACAAGCGCATTCAGGCTGCAGGCACCGATTGTGGCCCATTAGCTGGACAATCGCTGTGCAGGGTGCAGCTGGGTGTGTGCCTTGTTACGCGTGTCACACTGCGGTTTTAGATCGGCCGGTCCTTTGGTCACGAGTTTGGTGAGAAGGTCTGGGGTCTGACGCCGCGGGCATGATGTATTACTGTTAGTCGCGGTCGTGCGATTGTCGCATGTTGGTGGCGGCGATCGTGACAAACATGACTATGGATGAATGTTGAAAGGGGAAGGTGAAAAAAAACAGCTTTAAAGAGAGAAACACTTTTGCAGCATTGTCAGCACTCTAAAGGAAGTGCTGCCAAAACAGCATTGTTGGTAGGATCTACCAGTAAGAAGTTGGAGATGGAAGATACTATTGACAACATTGATTTTGCCTGGACATACACTGCTCAATAAAATTAAAGGAACATTTTTTCAATTAGAGTATAGCATCAAGTCAATTAACCTCCTGGGATATTGATCTTGTTAGTTAAGTAGCAGAGGGGGTTGTTAGTCAGTTTCAGCTGCTTTGATGTTAATGAAATTAACAACAGGTGCACTAGATGGGCAACAATGAGACGACCCCCCAAAACAGGAATGGTTTTAAAGGTGGAGGTCACTGACATTTTTTTCCTTACTCATCTTTTCTGACTGTTTTTCACTAGTTTTGAATTTGGCTAGGGTCAGTGTCACTACTGGTAGCATGACATGATACATGGACCTTACAGAGGTTACACAGGCAGTCCTACTCCTCCAGGATTGCACATGAATAGGTGCCATTGCCAGAAGGTTTGCTGTGTCTCCTAGCACAGTCTCAAGAGAATGAAGGAGATTCAAGGAGATAGGCTGTTACTCTCGGAGAGCTGGACAAGGCCGTAGAAGGTCATTAGCCCATTAGCAGGACTGATATCTGCTCCTTTGTGCAAGGAGGAACAGGATGAGCCCTGCCAGAGCCCTACAAAATAACCCTCAGCAGCCCACTGCTGTGAATGTCTCTGACCAAACAATCAGAAACAGACTTCATGAGGGTGGTCTCTGGGGGCCTGATGTCCTCTAGTGGGACCTTTGCTCACTGCCCGGCACCATAGAGCTTGACTGGCATTTGCCATTGAACACCAGAATTGGCAGGTCCACCACTGGCGCCCTGTGCTTTTCACAGATGAGAGCAGGTTCACCCTGAGCACATGTGACAGACATGAAAGGGTCTGGAGAAGCCGTGTAACATCATTCAGCATGAGTGTTTTGGTGATGGGTCAGTGAAGGTCTGGTTAGGCATATCCATGGAGGGACGCACAGACCTCTTCAGGATAGACAATGGCACCCCGAATGCCATTAGGTATCGGGATGAAATCCTTGGACCCATTGTCAGACCCTACACTGGTGCAGTGGGTCCTGGGTTCCTCCTGGTGCATAACAAAGACCGGCCTCATGTAGTATGCTACCAATGAATGCCCCCACGGTCGCCCGACCTAAATCCAATAGAACACCTCTGGCATATCATGTTTTGGCTTATTGGATGCCGCCAGGTTGCACCTCAGACTGTCCAGGAGCTCAGTGATGCCCTGGTCCAGCTCTGGGAGGAAATACCCCAGGGCGCCATCCGTCATCTCATTCAGAGCATGCCCTGATGTTGTCAGGCAAGCATACCAGCATGTGGAGTCCATACAAACTACCAAGTACCATTTTCAGTAGCTGCAATGACATTTCAGCAGAACTGACTAGCCTGCTGCATAATTTTTTCACTTTAATTTTCGGGGTGTCTTTAAATTCAGTCCTCTGTAGGCTGATAATTTTCATTTCCATCAAACAATGGGGCATCCTTACGTTCCTAACACATTACCCAGTCCGCATCAGTATAGATATCCAGCATGAGATTTTTCTCTATTGAGATCTCATGTGTTTTCAAAGTCTTCCTTTAATTTTTTTGAGCAGCGTACATTCTAAGCATGTTTTAAAGCTCCTTAACTGCAACTGAAATAAACAGGAAAATTCTATACCAGCCTTTCTCAACCTTTTTAACATGAAGGAACCACTGAAATACTAGTGATGCACCGATATATTGACCAGCGAAAAATTATCAGCTGAAAATAGAGTTATCTGCCTTTTTGCAGATAGAAAAAAAAAAGGTTTCGCTAATGATAACTGATTTCACTGCAAAAATCACGTTCCATTGACTTCAATGCAAAAACGCCTCTATTTACTGTAGGTTTTTTAATTTTACATATATTTTATTTTATGTCCAATTTTTGTGTGGTACTTTCAATAAAACTTATTTTACATTACTGGATTGCATTTTTCAATTCATATTCATTTAAATTCATTAGGTTAATTAAAAAGTTGAATATATTACAAAATTTTGGTTTTGGTTTTTGGCCAAGTGCATCCTGAATTTTCGGGTTTGGTCCAGAATTTTTACTTCAGTGCATCACTAGAAATAACTGTCTCAGCGAACCCGATAATGGTTCATGGTATGTTCGCATGAAAGATAGCCACACACTTGCAGAATTCTGTTCAAAAAAGTTCACTGTAAAATTGTTCATTTTATTTTTCTAATCATGCGTGGGTCAAATAAAAAATTGGTTTCAACCATAGTGACAAGAAAATTCAAAGGAATAGGATGGAAAGTTTTCTGTAGGAACAAATTTCGAACAGTGTATGCGATTTTCTTTCAGGAAAGTCCATTAACCCCATAATCAATTGTTAAAAGCAAAAAAATATTGAAGTTCTTTTGAACGACATTTGTCAACGTTCTTGAATGTACTGTGAATTTTTGTACAGTATGAATGTTTGTACAAATATTCATTTGAATGACTGAATGGCCAGCTCAAGTTGTAACTACGGAAATAAATAAAAAGAATAAGTATTTGTGTTTTTGACACTCAGGGCTACTGCATATGACAATTTATTTAAGTACTAATAATGAAATGTATTTATTATAGGTAGTTATGTAGTACACAGCGCTTTACATATATACTATACATTTACACAAATCTCTAACCCTCAAGGGGCGTACAATCTAAAGTCCCTAACTTACATTCATATATTAGGGCCAATTAACCTACTAGATGTCTTTGGAGTGGGGGAGGAAACCCATGCAGGCACAGGGAGAACATGCAAACTCCAGGCAGGTGGTGCCATGGTTGGGATTCGAACTAGCGGCCCTAGTACTGCCAGGCAGAAGTGCTAACTATTTAGCCACTGTGTTATTTTAAAATAACGATAGGAAAAGAAACCCAGAAAGTGAAAATTATAGTGTTCCCCCCACAATGGAGATCAGTGGAAAGTGCCCTCTTATATTGGAGGTCAGTGAAGTGCCCATTTACAATAGCGACCAATGAGATAAAAGCCCTTTTAAATTGGTAATAAGTGGGAGAAGAGCCACAATGAACATGTGGTCAATGGGAAGAATGTGCCCCTTATATTGGTGGTTAGTGGGTAGAATGCTGCCTTACAATGGTGGACAGTGGGAGGAATGCTTCTTATATTCATGGTCAGTGGGAGGAATGCCCCTTATATTCGTGGTCAGTGGCAGGTGTGCTCCTTGTATTTGTTGTCAGTGGGTAGAGTGCTCCCTTATATTTGTGGTCAGTGGGAAGAATGTTCTTTATATTGGTGGTCAGTGGGAAGATTGCTGCTTATATTGGAGGCCAGAGGGAAGAATGCTTCTTATTTTGGTGGTTAATGAGAAGAATGCTCCTTATAATTGCCATCAGTGGGAAGAATGCACCTTATATTGGTGGTCACTGGGAAGAATGCTACTTATATTGTGGTCAGTGGGAAGAATGCTCTTTATATTGGTGGTCAGTGGGAAGAATGCTGCTTATATTGATGGCCAGTGAGAAGAATGCTCTTTATATTTGTGGTCAATGAGAAGAATGTCTCTTATATTGGAGGCCAGAGGGAAGAATGCTCCTTATTATGGTGGTTAACGGGAAGAATGCTCCCTTCATTGGTTGTCAGTGGGTAGAGTGCTCCTTATATTTGTGGTCAGTCGGAAGAATGCCTCTCATATTGGAGGCCAATGGGAAGAATGCACCTTATAATTGCCGTCAGTGGGAAGAATGCTCCTTATGTTGATTGTCTGTGAAAAGAATGCTCTTTATATTGGTGGTCAGTGGGAAGAATGCTCCTTATATTGGTGGCCAGTTGGACGAATGCTCCTTGTATTTATGGTCAGTGAGCAAAATGCTCCTCATATTTGTGTTCAGTGGGAAGAATGATCTTTATATTGGTGGTCAATTGTAAGCATCCTCCTTATATTTGTGATCAATTAGAAGAATGCTCTTTATATTGGTGGTCAGTGGGAAGAAGGCAACTGTTATTGGTAGTCAATAGGAAGAATGTTCCTCATATTGGTGGTCAGTGGGAAGAATGCTCCTTATATTGGTGGCCAGTTGGACGAATGCTCCTTGTATTTATGGTCAGTGAGCAAAATGCTCCTCATATTTGTGTTCAGTGGGAAGAATGATCTTTATATTGGTGGTCAATTGTAAGCATACTCCTTATATTTGTGATCAATTAGAAGAATGCTCTTTATATTGGTGGTCAGTGGGAAGAAGGCAACTGTTATTGGTGGTCAATAGGAAGAATGTTCCTCATATTGGTGGGCAGTGGCAAGAATGCTCATCATATTTGTGGTCAGTGGGAAGAATGCTCCTTATATGTGGTCAGGGGGGAGAATGCTTCTTATATTTGTGGTCAGTGGGAGGAATGCTCCTTATATTGGTGGTCAGTGGGAAGAACGCTCCTTATATTTGTGGTCAGTGAGAAGATTGCTCCTTATATTTGTGGTCAGTGGGAGGAATGATCCTTATATTGGTGGTCAGTGGGAGGAATGCTCCTTATATTTGTGGTCAATAGGAAGAATGTTCCTTATATTGATGGTGCCCCATCATTGGTGTTCGTTAGTAGAATAATGCTCCAAGGGCCAGATAAAGGCAAGCAAAGGGCCACATCAGGCCCTCAGGCTGCAGTTTGGAGACCACTGATCTAGAAGTATAGCTTATGAAATTAATTATTATAGCTTAGCCCCATGAACACATAATTACAATATATGTAAAGAAGCAAAGTTTTTAAAGCTAAACTCTGGAAAGTGCCAAAATTGATAACTATACCGCCACATCATTTCCAGCTGATACAGGATCTGATGCTTATTTTGTTTTGTGAGTGGGATAAAACAGAATATTACTTACCTTTAGTAAAAAAAAAAAAATGTATCAGCACAAGGGACGTTTCTTACACTTAATGCAAAGTATACCTTGTGCAGGTGCCAGTTCTCATAACGTAAATCTTTAGTCCTCTACCCCCTTGCGATACTGCGCAGCCATAATTTTCCAGTTTTGCAGGGGTTAATACTAGCACTGGAACTGTGACAGGCACTCATCACCAGTGCTGACTACATTCATCCTTTCTGCCTTGCTCCATTCAAAGTTGTACCAGAACTACCATGAATTAAAAGCGATGTTTGAATAGAGAACCTTTCATTCATCCATCCATCCGTCCTCCATTCATAGATTGCTTTTCATTTACGGAAGCTATAGTACAGGGCAGGTTTCCTGATGATGACAACTAAGGACCATGTGTGCATAATGTGTGTTGAAATGGCCTTTTAAAAGCAGGTTTAAAAGAAGAACAGGGATTTTGTTATTAAAAAGTGACCACATGTAAAGGTAAAAGCACAGTACTTTATTATAAAGTCAATGAAAACATTCTGCATTGTATGCTCATTCCTGTGGGAATTCCATATTCAATGCAAATGCTGCTGTGTTTTTTACTTTACATACCATTACTTTGGTACCATTAAAAGTCCCATTCTCTTTTCTCTACCTACAGTACTATAAATGTACTATTTGGGATGTCGGTATCACCCCTCCTTACTTACGGATTCTGCCTAAAATGTTCTTTGTAGAAAAGACTACTTATAGCCTCAATCAGAAGCTCACAGGGTAACTACTTAGAAAATGCTGGATTAACCCTGTTCACACAGCTACACATTGTAATACAGTATGGCCTGTGGTCAGCAGGAGGGATAGGGTCCCATCATTGGTGTCAGTGGGAGGAATAGTGCCCCATTGTTGGTGTCAGTGGGAGGAATAGTGTTCCATTGTTGGTGTCAGTGGTTAAAATAGTGCCCATCAGAGTGAGATTAATAGTAACCCATTCATAATGCCAGTGGGAGAAATAGTGCTCAATTGTTGGTGCCAGTAAGAGGAATAGTGTTGCATTGTTCATATCGGTGGTAGGGATTATGCCCCATCATTGGTGTCAGTGGAAAGAACAGTACCCCATTGCTGGTGTCAGTGGGAAGACTTACCCCACTGTTGATGTCACTTGGAGGAATAGTGCCGTTGGTCGTTGGTGTCAGTGGAATTATTAGGGACCCATCAATATTGGGAGGAATAGTGCCCCATTGGCGGTGTCACTGGGAGGAATAGTGTTCCATTGTTGGTGTCAGTGACAAAATAGTGTTCCATTGTTGGTGTCAGTGACAGAATAGTGCCCATCATTGGTGTCAGTGAGATTAATAGTAACCCATCCATAATGTCAGTGGGAGGAATAGTGCTCAGTTGTTGGTGTCAGTAGTATAGTGTTGCATTGTTTGTATCGGTGGTAGAATTATGCCCCATCATTGGTGTCAGTGGAGAGAACAGTACTCCATCATTGGTGTCAGTGGGAAGAAGAATAGTGCCCATCTTTGGTGTCAGTAGAATTATTAGGGACCCATCAAAAATGTCAATGGAAGGAACACCCATCGTTTGTGTCAATGAGAGTACTAGTGCCTCACCATTGGTATCAGTGAAAGGAATAGTGACCCATTGATGTTGTCAGTGGGTGGAATAGTGTTCCATCATTGTCAGTGGGATTATTAGTGCCCCATCATCGATGTCAATGGGAGGAATAGTTAATGTCAGTGGGAGAAATAGTGCCCCATCATTGGTGTTAGCGGGAGGAATTATGCTCCATTGTTGGTGTTAGCGGGAGGAATTATGCCCCATTGTTGGTGTTACTGGGAGGAATAGTTAATGTCAGTGGGAGAAATAGTGCCCCATCATCATTGGTGTTAGCAGGAGGAAATATGCCCCATTGTTGGTGTTAGCGGGAGAAGTTATGCCCCATTGTTGGTGTTACTGGGAGCAATAGTGCCCCATCATTGGTGTTAGCGGGAGGAATTATGCCCCATTGTTGGTGTCACTGGGAGGAATAGTGCCCCATCATTGGTGTTAGCGGGAGGAATTATGCCCCATTGTTGGTGTTACTGGGAGGAATAGTGCCCCATCATTGGTGTTAGCGGGAGGAATTATGCCCCATTGTTGGTGTTACTGGGAGGAATAGTGCCCCATCATTGGTGTTAGCGGGAGAAATTATGCCCCATTGTTGGTGTTACTGGGAGGAATTATGCCCCATTGTTGGTGTTAGTGGGAGGAATTATGCCCCATTGTTGGTGTTAGCGGGACGAATTATGCCCCATTGTTGGTGTTACTGGGAGGAATAGTGCCCCATCATTGGTGCTAGTGGGAGTTGGATTAATAGTAACCAATCCATAATTTCACTGGGAGGAATTGTGCCCCATTGTTTATGTCAGTTGGTGGAATAGTGCTTAATTGTTGGTGTCAGTGGGAGGAATAGTGCCCCATCTTTGTATTCAGTAGGAGGAATAGTGCCTATCGTTGGTGTCAGTGGGAGGAATAGTGCCCCATCTTTGGATTCAGTAGGAGGAATAGTGCCTATCGTTGGTGTCAGTGGGAGGAATAGTGCCCCATCATTAATGTCAGTGGGAGGAATAGTGCCTTGTATCAGTGGGAGGAAAGGTACCGCAGGGGCCATGAAAAGCAAGCAAAGTGCTGCATCCAGTCTACGGGCCGCAATTTGGAGCCCACTGCCTAGACAAAGGATGGTGTAAACAAGTGTTAGTGCCTGTATCAGCATTTGTTAATTTAGTTACCTCCCAGAGTTCAGCTTTAAACCACTAATACACTTTTATGATTATTATAATTTAGCTGTTCTTTTTTCACATGTGCGTCTTAAAAAAATGTTAAACAGGCTAGAGGTTCTGCATACTAAAGCATACTAAAAACACATGCATTATTTAATTTTAGATTTTCAAGCACGTACTGAGCCGAGCCATCGCACACGCATCAGAAGTCAAAAATCAATCTATCGGTTAAAAGGGACCTGAGCTGAATAAGTCACACTGATGGACAGTAACAGACCAGCACAAGCTGCATAGACACAATGCTGGTTATATATACAATACAAGCAATACCACAAGGAAAAGCGCTTTGTAACAATTTTCTGTCAACCAAAACTGGCACCCAAAGAGAACAATAATGATTAGCGTTTTTCATTTGGTAATGAAAAAGAACTAATTACATCACACTCGTTAGTCAGTGACAAAGAGCAATGGGCCACTGTGCTAGGAAAGGAAAATGATTAACGTCAACTGTGACATAATCCCCCTGAAATAATAAATAAACAGCGTCAGCAACTCGATAGCGCGCTCTCCACCAGGCTATTGTTAAGCTGCCCTTGTGGGCTTAGAACAAAAGAATAGCATTGAGTTCAAGGTCATCCTGAAAGAGCCGTGTCACCGGGTCAGAATCTGCCACTGGGGGACTCACAATCTGTCACTAGTGCCTACAATCTGTTCTTGTGTCAGGAAATAGCAATGTTATAGTATATGGCAGAGCAAAAATTAAAAAAACATATTCAGTATTTCTCTCAATTACATGCCCTTTTTCTCCATTTTTAAGCCTTTAAAAATGCTGCAAGAGTAGAAATTACCTTGCGATCTGCCAGACACCCAGTGTGCTCCAAACTTCCTGTCTGAGGTGACAACACAGTGCCTCTGCTGTCCTGAAATCCCAACCAGTGTTGTCAGCCCTGGCTGCTCGATTACAAAACTTCAAGTGATGTTAAAAGCAATTTTTTACAAAAAACAAAAAGTAACAAACATGGTATACTTACCTGCTGTGTGCAGTGGTTTTGCACAAAACAGCTCTGATCCTCCTCTTCTCGGGTTCCCCGCCCATGCTCCTTGTGCTGACGTCCTGCTGAGTGCCCCCAGAGCAAGCAGCTTGTTATGGGGCATGCAAGCAGGCTCTCTCCTGAGCGTGTCCTTTCACACACAGAGCTGCGGCTTGGCCATGCCCCCTCTCTCTTCTCATTGGCTCATTGGCTGTGAGCCATGTTGCCTTATGAGAGGTTTATGTATAATCACCATTAGCATGTGTAAATAGATATTTGTATAACTATATTTTAAATAAGTTACAAGCTAAGACATTGTAAATATTGGTTTAACCACTTCAAGTCCGGACACTTTCACCCCCTTCCAGTCCAGGCCAATTTTCAGCTTTCAGAGCTATCACACTTTGAATGACAATTGCTCGGTCATGCAACACTTAAAAAAATAGTTTTTCCTATACAGTTTTGCAAATAAATAATCGTTCTTCACAAATCTTGGCGAAAATGTTTTCAGCTATCTTTTTGGTAAAAAAAATAACCCAAATTAGTTTATTAAAAAAAATTATAATTTAAAAAAAAAATGTTTACATTATTATTTTTTTTATATTATTATTTATGGGTTTTTGTGTTTTTTTACATACTGTCACCCTAGCAGTACAGTGTCACCATAGTGACACTGTACTACTTGGGGGGGTGATGATATTTTTTTTTTTTTTTCACACTGATTGCTTTTACACCCATAAAAAAAATATATATGAACAAGGGTTCAGGTTTCAGTAATTGATTTACTAGACAGATATTGTAGTGTAGGAATCTTCTGATGTACTGAACATATCTGTGCCACAGAGAATGCTCTATTATTTATCCGTCCTAAT